AAAATACTTACCTACCCTGTTGTACATGATGCAGTTTACATCTATTTTAGCTAGTCAAGAATAAACATGTTCGCGTACTCACATATGAGCACACAGTCTAGTATGAGCGAACATGAAATCACATCTTAAAACTCTAAAAGATGTTGGCAAGGCTAATCACTACACAAACATTTTTTTTAGCACAGAAAGCAGGTTTTGCATATGTCTTTCACAACCTCACCATGAGGAAAGCTTTAAAAAAAAAAAAAAAAGAAAAAATTCATTAAAAAGAACTTCATGAAGTCACAACACAGCTGTCAATTCCTAATTACCAAGAGACAGCAGGCATAGTCTTCTGGAAGATTAATATAGCTGTAGTCTTGTCCATCCATAGGCACCTAAATTCTTCCACAAAGCTCCAGCTTCCATTACAAAGGGCCACTCAATTACAAATTTCAACATCAGCAGTGACTAGAACTCAATTACAATTGACCACACTGTGCCAGAAGTGACTTAAGAGACAAAAAGTAGCACAAAGACCAAGAGAAGAATTGTCAATAATAGTGACAGCAGTAGCTCCAAAACTGCCTGAATGAGCTCTCAAAAACTCATCAAGATAAATCTTTTCAAAGAAGTTTTGGAAAAACTGTCACATACAGTGCAACATACTTATAATTCAGAAGTATCTTTTAGGATAAATGAAACTCAATGACAGCTGGAATGAAGATGTCGTATCAGTTTAGACACACACAAAACACACAACCTCAAGACAAAACGCCTTTTCCCAGGACTGCAGAGAAATTCATCATGGCAGCACGTACTTAAAATTTTAAAAAGCTTTTCAGAGAGCAAAACAAAACAGCAGGGGCAAAAACTATTAAGATGAATAACACAACTGGCATCAAAAGAAAATGAAAGGTACTCCTGAGAGCCTCCACAAAGATCTGGCCTTGTTTACCAATTATTTTTTCAGGACTAGACAGGAGATGACTCCAAAATAGCAAGCTGACAGGTAGACTGGGAGCAGCAACAGGAGAAGTTTTTTTCCTTTTTTTTTTTTTTAAGTCAGTCTGAAGAAGATACCATGCCAACAACTTTTTTTGTCCCAATAACATGAAAAACTACTTTTCCTAGCCAAATACTTGGATTTTTAAGTCACATCACATCAGCTGTCGTTTTATGCCACTCCAGATGGTTCACAAAGCAATGTTAATTTAATATATGACACATAATAGTAATTCCCTAGAAGGGAAAGTATTGTCTTGTCACGCTGTTACGGACATCAAGATCAAGGCAACATCCTTTAGGACTTCAAATGTTAAAAGCTTAAATAATTTTTATTCTTGCATATGTTTTCTACACAGATCACAGCTACCACGCAGCAGTTTGTGCAGCAGATTCTAGGCTCTGTTTCTAGATCCTCTGAATTTTTTTACATACTTCTGGAATCATCAGAGGACTCCCGGGAAGTCTCTGAGAAACTTCACAATGCCCACCATTGCCAGCAAGCTCTAGAAGCTTTTAACAAGGTCTGCCAGCTGTTTGTGATCAAAGGCTGCTTTCATCTTTTGCTCCAGCTGACTCCTGATTACAAAGGCTCAGGAACCCTTTCAACAAGTCCTGGAAAAGGACCTATGTAAGAGTCAGGCCTAGAGCACACCCAACAGATACAGCATTTTGTGCACCAGCTTGCAGAAAACGATGGCCAGAAACTCTCTCTGTACACGTTCTCAGCAGTTATGGTGATGCACTCTCAGGCTCAGTCCCCAGCACCCACTGGAGCAGACAACCCAGCACATTCGAACCCTTAACACAAACCACTCTCCTAAGGGAGGATACAGATGTGCAGGTCTTAGCACTGCAGGGACATGGCTCCAAGCAACCTACTCTAGTGGATCCTGCTGTGAAAGGGAATGGATAATATGATCTGCAGAGGTTCCTCCAGTCTCAAAAAAATGGCTGCCCTTGCAGCACCTCAATTGTATTCTACTTCAAAGGTGTTGGTTTTTGGTTTGTTTTTTTGGGTTTTTTTGGGGTTTTTTTTTTTTTGTTGTTTTTTACAAAGGTGGGCTGAAGATAACTAGTATAATACTGGTCTCAAGAACAGCAAGTTCAATTGAGGCATCCAAGAAAAATTTGAGACCCCTATGCAATTCTTCACTTTTAGTTAAAATTTAGTTAAAACAAACAAGTTCCAACTCAATCTAAAACCTTCATCTCCCACAGTCATCACAAATTTTAGGCTCTAATATCAAACATTTTCTGTAGCAATTGCAGATAACCCTGAAGACAGACATGCAGCTCCAGATTAAATACTCAAAATAAGCAGGTGTTGAACCTTCCATTAGAGCCTACAGAGAGCTCACACTGAACCAGACATTTGAGTTTTGTCAACTAAAGTGCACCATAAATTGTATCATAGATGAAGGCTATATCACATGAGAACATCAATATTAGGCATCTAAATTAAGGTATGTAACACTTTTCAACAGCAGTGAAACTCATTATTAGACTTTTTCCCAAAGCTATTGTTTCAAGTTTACCTACAGATTCAGATACATTCCCTGCTGACATATTCTCTTTGCAGTTCTCGTACATCTGGTTGAAAAAATTAAGTGTATTAAGTTCTTGAGTGCTATCTTATTGCACTGTAATAGGTAACGTGCAAATACATAGTAATATAGACTACAGTAAGTCAAGGCTTACAAGCTGTGGAGATAGACCAGTATAACTTAACCATCTGAAAGTAACTGAAACGCAAAAAAGCACAAGGTGGCAAAGTTAAACTTAAGTGATCAAAGTTCACATTACTGAAAATGAAAACTTTGAAGTGTTCTTATGTATCTACAATTTTCTTTAATGCACAATTTAAGAAAACTGCCTCCCTTCAACTCCTTCTGTTTTGTTTTTTTATAACAAGACAATTTCAGCAAGAGATTCTGCTCATGAATTTAGAGTTCTCTAATGTCAAATTTAGACATTTTCTACCACAAAGTAAATTCAAAATAGAAAAGACTTGCCTACATGAAGGGCAAAACATCGGCTCTTTCAGCTTTCCATCCATTCGACCCAATTGTGCATTCTTTCAAGTATCAATTTTTCAACTTTACCAAGCAAGTCAACTGGCTGCACATAGCAGCAGATACTACGATCACAGGGGACTGACTCCACTGAACTATTTTTATTTTTATGGAATGAGGTGTAACATTTCCTGGTAAAAACAAGTAATTCCTGAATGTGTATGCCACACGCATTACACAGACTTGTTACTTCAGCAGCAGATATAATCACATCTTTTCAGGTAAGGAAAGAGCATTTCTCTCCCTAGAAAAAGTGTGGACTATAGACAACAACAAAAATATGCCAACCATAAGCTTCCATAAAAAGATAACTTTAATTATTAATGTTCTGAATAAACTGTTCTAAGCACAAAACCAGCTTTGTCTCCTGCCTTTTTACTTCACACTAATATAAAGTTTTAAAAAAGTTAACCTAAGGTCTTACAAGAATACTAAGAAAAACAAATCTATTACTTGTCTTGGAGATGGGAGGAAAGAAGGAAAACAAAATTTCACATTTTTGCCTTTTTCTTCCCCTCTCCTCTTTTAAACCTCTATGGCATGAGGTCGCGATTAGCACACACGAAGCAAGGTCCATACTATTTGGTTGACAACTACACCAGCTGATTTTCTACATGTTTTCTTGTTAATGGGTTCATCCATTATAAAAGTTCAACAGTTCTGACACTGTTTACTCAGAAATGCACCAAAAATGAAAAGCAAGCACATCCATCTATAATAATTGGCAGAATAATTATTTGACCATACTTTGAATACCAACCTATAGTCTTTGCAACATTCACTGTTATAATCAATGTGCTTCCTAACATTAGGAGCAGAAAAAAAATAACTTTGGAAACAAGTGTCAAAAAACATTAACCCTGGTCTGACCAAAGGAAAGAATGAGTAGATTCTGTTGTCTGGTCAGATAGTGCTATCAAAGCTCCATCACCCACACCTATTACCTCAAAACTCTAGATTTACTGTACTGAGTATTAATTATGTGGAATTACTAGATATGAACTAGATAGAAAGAAGAAACCATACTCAAAACTAACCTCTCAAAGTAATAAGTTAGACCAACATTAGTTCTTACTAATAACCATGTTTTTCCTAAGACAGATAGGACAGCTCACTTAACACTGAAGAATAAGAACTGGTTTTAAACAGTGAGTTTCTTCTGGTACTCTATAGCCAAGCCTAATTTCCATTTAAAACAATACAGTGATATAACATATTGTGCTGACAAATGCAATTCTAGAAGATCTAATAGAAGAAAAATATCTAGAAGGGGAAGTTTAGTTCCTACAACCGAAGAGAAACAGAAAAACAAGTTGCTGAGTCTATCTTGGTATATAACAAGCAGATATTAAAAAGACAGACACATTTTTGATAGGAGTTATTGGCTAACCAGTACCTAATCCAACTATATCTGGTTCAAAAGCAGACAGTCAACTAGTCCATCTTTTGAGGCTGGTGTCTCTACCCAACATGTTACTAACAGAAAAAATGCATCACAAGACAACTCCAAATATCAAAGCCTGGAACTTCCAGTCAGAACCCTACAAAAAATGGGCTCGCCAACAAGTCCGGTAATCAAATCCAGACAGAAAAAAAAAAACAAAACAATCAAACAAACAAACTAATACATCAGCCTTTACCCCCATCAAATTCAGCAATGCCTTTTGCAGCTATTCCTGACATTCTAAAAAATGCTGCTTATGCAAGGTATTCAAACAGTAGAGGATATAACTTGGTTTTCATTCCATTAATAAAGTGAGATTACCAACTAGGACTTCTTTCACAGGTACAATCATACATGACTTATTATTGATTCACTAAATACCAATATTAAAACAGATCTTTTTTTCTCCCTTCCTTATCCAACACACTTCAGTGTTTGTTTTGCCACTTTTGTTCATCATTTCCATATTATTGTCATGTAGCAAACAGAACACTTACCTGTGACCAGGATGATAAATGACAGTAGTTATTCCATGGGCATAATGGCTGCTAAAGCTGAAACTATGACTTTCTTGAAAGCTTTGATTTGTTCCAACACTAGACATAGGGGGAAAAAAAAATACATGCATTATTGCAGATTTATTTTCTTTAAAGAGTGGAAAAAACTGCTTTGAAGTTCACTGTGCCTTCTCAAAGTAAGTCAAAATTTATGTTTACCTTACAAGATAACTTCTCAGTTCTCCACGATAATTAACGACAAGCAGTTCGGCTGACCATTGGGCACTTGCCTTGTATTCTAGAAAGATCAATCCAGCAATAGCGTAACTCAGATCTCCTGGAAAACTTGCTGTCTTTACCCAAAAATGCAGACAGACATTGAGAGAGAAAGGGGATTCAAAATAAAAAAAGAAAAAAAAAGAAAAAAAAAAAGAAAGTGTCTTCATTACTGAAAGAACTAGGAAGCTAAATTTACTATATTGTATAAAAATGTATTAAAAAAACGGTTTCACAGTTTGTACTAGTAACAAAATACACTTCCTTTTATCTTGATTTTGAAGAATTATTACTGTAAAGTCTGTAAAGACAATACACTAAGGAAATACACTCGAGTCACCCTCCCAAATTAGTTTAATACAACCTTTGAATATGCAAAATATAAAATATATTGTGCGGGTCAAGCCAACAGCAATCATCTATTCTCATACCAAGAAAAAAAAAAATCCTCTATTTCTCTACCAACTATATTTCTTGATTTATAAGTGACACTACATATAAACTACAGCTCTGTAATCTGCTACAAATTACAAAATTGCAATTATTCGTACATATACTAATTAGGTGATTCTACACTTTCACAATCTGATGTACCTGCAGATCTACCGTAATTCTAAGAAAAAGAAAAGAAAGATTAAGATTCTGACTATATACAATAGCACAAAGGATATGTTTTACACATGCTACACATGAATTAAGTTTAACTATCATATATCCATGATATGATAAACACTTCATGGTACATTTGTGCATGGTATTCATACAGTAAGCCATGATTTAAAAAAGGCCAAAGAGTAGAAATTACCCTCTATCCTTACAAAAAGTTCTACTATATTTATATCTAATCTAAGAGACCACTTACCGGTGAAATGACCAAAAGCTCACTACCCATTAGGTCAAACACTCTTACTGTTCCAGTGCTTTCAGCATAAGCAAGTAACGTACAATCGTGACTCCATGCCACTCGCCTCCACTGAGGGTTAGGATCCTTTGGCACTACGAAAAAGTAAAAAAGTTATTTAAAAATGAAATATAAATATAATCCCTTAAACAGAACAAAAAGTCAACTGCATCAAAAAATGCAGGGTGCCTACCATCATTACAAGCTTATCTTGGAGGAGAAAAAACAAAAAACAAAAACCAACACACATCACCTCCAACACCTGATACGTCTCCCAAACCCATTAATTTTAAGTTTCATGAGAAAGAGTAACAAAGCTAGCCATAAAGCAAAATTATTAATAAATTCTTCCCAATGCTTTTACAACATTATCTTTAAAGTAAACCAACACCACCACTTAGCAATTCATGAATAACAATGACAACACTAAGTAATGATGTAGAGGTTGCCATATTGTGTACCTTGACATTTTCCAATTATGGATCCAAAGTCATCTTTTGCAGACCTGCAGAAAGAGACTCATATGGATTTAAATAAGAAAAAAAAAAAACAAAAAACAAAAACAAAACACACCACCACACTCCTCAATTTTCCAGAATAAACAGAACTCTATAAAAATACTCTTAAGTGCCCAATTCAAAGGCCTGCATGTATTCAACTACTTGTTCAAAAAGGCAGATAGTAGCCTTCACCCTTAAGCAGCTACAGTAACTAAATAGTATTTTAGAAAACCTCCTCCCAACACATAACCCTCATTTAGTAGCAATGCTCTTCAAAATAGCATAGCAGCATTTCAGAACTTCAGCACGTAACTTTAGAGAAAAAAAAAAAAAATAGTCAGTATTCTCTAGGTTACAATTTTAGAAACAATGCAAGAATATAGTTACATTAATACAATTGAAATACAAGACTTATTTTACAGTCTATAAGCTGACATTTATGGTGTTCACACCTCTTCTGATTGAACAATTTTCATACACTTGCTTCTTTTACATATAAATAGAAGGTCTGACCTTCTAGCAAATGGATTTTTGTGAAGCAAGTAAACACACTCAATCAAGATCCATTCTATAGCTGAACGTGTTCTCGAACTAGCAAAGGAGAGCTTGTTGTTAGCAAGCAGAAGAAAAACGGAAAGCATCAGTCTTTATGGCAATCCATATTACATGTAAAATAATGTGAAGTATTATACATGCCAGCCACTCTACAGAGGAGCAGAATACTAGCTCCTTGTCCCATTTATTATGAGAGAATTTCTAGGGGGAACAGAAAGGTAAAGGTTAGAAAGACCATGATTTGGGTTTAGTATTTTGAGGGTCTTAAATGTTTTTCTTTCACATCTTCAAAAAAAGAAAGAGAGAGATACAGATAGGTACTTACACAAATTCATCTACAACACATATAATGGGGGTGGGTGTTGCTGGGGCAGGGGGTGGGATGTTGTTTGGTTTTTTTTTAAATGGGGAATGGCCATGAACTTAGAAGGCTGCTTCTTTCTAAGTGATAATGCATTTTGAGATTATTCCATAAATTACTTTCACAATATATAACATTCCAAAAAAAAAAAAAAAAACACCACCACAAAAATCTTGAAAAGTACGGTCAGTAAATGACTAGAAACACTTTCTCGGAACTCCACAACTGTGGTCATGAAGCAATAGATAACATTAAGTTACCTGATTTCTACACATTGGTCTTGAACAACTGCCAACAATTTCCCATTGCTGAAAGAGAAAAATACAGGTATGAAAATTCATTTAACATCTAGTCCTTACAAAATGTGCATCAGAACTCTAGGTGCTTTCCTGCAAGGTCAGATACAACTTTCCTCTTTCTTAGGAAATACCAATTTTTTTTTTTTTTTTTTTTAAAAAAAAAAAAAAAAAAAAAATCAGTGCTACAATAAAATTCCCTTCATGTCACTGAAATGTATCTGTCACTTTTTCCTAGCGGAACTAAGAAAAGAGAAACAATGTCTACAAACTTGCTGCAGGGGAGGTCAGAATTAGATGTTGCCTACGGATAATTTTAAAGCAATGCATAGTTTTAGATATTGCTGCTATATCTGGAACAAACAACTATCACACTTCAGTAAGTTACGTCGTCTCCTTAAGAGCAACTCTCCTGTCTTTGTACCTAACACAGAACATTGCAACTGGCATGTTGCGCCTCAAAAAGGATCATCGCTTCCCTCAAAGAATCGTCATCTCTCTAAACTGTATAGAGCTCTTGCTGAACCACTGATCATATTAAGCGATAATATATAAGAAACTAAAACGTTCTATAGTACCTTCATGTCATTGAACCATTTTTCTGCACATAGTTATGCTTGTTTTTAAAAGCCAGTGATCTCACTCATGCTGCCAAAATTACTGCAGAAGAGCTGGTTCTAGCTTTGGAACTCTCACTTCCCCTCTATACGTACAACAGCAGACAAGTCTCGAGGGTATGCATTCACGTTCCACAACTTTTAAAATAAGCAATTTATATTACATATCCTGCCAAGTTATAGGTCTTTAACTGATCGAATTTAGGACTTGAGTTTGAGAACAATTGCACTGCAAGCCACTTTGCCTCAAAAGCCAGAACATTCTGCCGGACGCGTTCCTGTGTGACCTACTCCAGGGGTCCTGCTCTGGCAGGGGAATTGGACTAGATGATCTTTCGAGGTCCCTTCCTGTGATTCTGTGACATTCAGACTGAGTGAGAGATGCATTTAACAAAGGGAAGCCACATGGAATTCTCTAGGTAGCAGACTGATGTTTCTTTCCCAATGCTACCTTGTGAAAGCCTCCACTATTTCCCTTGACCAAAAAGAATAACATGACCTTAGCACAACACTAAGTCAGCATTATTACCAACGGGGACAGAAGGGGAAGGAGAGGAAGCATTAATACATTTACGACTGCCAAAAATGGAGATGCATGAAGTTACCTTGCAAGTACTAGGTGCCAGTTGATCTGCTTACTAACCAGACGAACCAGTCCAGTGGGCAGAGAAAACTTTGCAGGGCTGAAATGACAAAACCATTAGGCTAAATGAGAACATACACCTAGCAAAAGCAGTTCCCGAGATACACATGCCAGATGACTTAGCTTTAAGGCAACCATCAATCACCTGGGAGGTTTTAGCAACTGAACATGAATCGACTCTGCACCCTGCAAATGGTGAAGGTGAACAACATCCTTGTTTGTATTAACAGAGCAAGATCACATATCAAGACAACTGATTATTTACTCATCACTCTTTATACTCTGGTCAGCAGCAAGTTTTGCTCCTCCCCCCATTACAAGACCACCATCAATAACGGGGAGGGTCACAAAGATGGTCAGGGGACTGGAGCACTTGCTGTACAAGGAGATGCTGAGGGAATTGTACTCGTTTAGCCTGGAGAAGGGAACACTTCAGGGGGACCAAACAGCAGCTCTCTGATACCTAGGAGGTTATCACGAAGACAGGAGCCACCGAGGTGCATGGCAGGAGCACAAAAAACCATGATCAATCCTTGGTGGACTTGGCAGTGTTAGGTTAACAGTTGGTCCTTTCCAACCTAAATGACTCTAAAACAGAGCAGGTTCCCAGCTGACATAAGGAAGAGAATTCTTCAACACGAAGACAGTCAGGCACTGGAATAGGCTGCCCAGAGTCTTTGGAATCTCCATCGTTTAAGCTTTTCAATACCTAGCTGGACAGAGACCCAAGGAACCTGGTCTGAATTCCATATTCTCCCTGCTTTTACCAGGACTTTAAACTAGAGGCCTCCTGAGCTCCCTTACAAACCCTTTTATTAAATATAGGAAAACAGCAATTAGAATCAATTATAACAGCTAGAAAACAGACTTTAAATACGACTACCAGGGGGCAGGGGAGAAAAATAAACACCATAAAACCCACCACCACCCCAAAAAGAAAGGAGGGGTGAGGAGGTGCAAAATCAAGTAGAACACCAACAATAGGGAAAACAGCACTTGCCACTCACGTCAAGTACAGTATTGTTTCACAGGGAGCCACATTAATGTCCCTTTCCATATATATCAAAACCATCAGAATACCCTTAAAAAAGGAGAACTGGTGGTATTTTCAAACCTGCCAAGAGCATCAACAGAGCAGTACAACCACGGAGCTGAAATTCTCCAGGAATACTGTATTTACCCCAATTGTTGCTGGGACCATCTAAGTGCCTTTTGAATCAGAAGTTAAATTTATAAATTGCTCAACGAGTTAAATCTTTTTGTATGACAGTTTGAAATGTCAAGAAAAAAAAAAAATCCAAATTATTACCCCAAAGGAAGCAAATCCTGCCATGCCATCGTACCTGTCACTGAGGCTTAAGAAAAAAACAAAACAAAACAAAACAAAACAGCTTCACTTGCAATATCTCAGTTGGGAGTGAGGAGGACAAACGTGTTTTGAGAAAGGTTATGTTCCAGCTGCAAGTTTATTCAGGCTTCAGATAGAAGCAAAAAAGTGAAACTAGTATACACCAGCTCTGTTCTAGATAGGCTTCAGCTGTAACTCAAGTGGTTACAACTTAAACTTATGAAAACAGAATATTCTAAGCATTGCTTGTACAATACTCTAAACAAGTGCTCAATTTTACTCTCACTAAAAATAACTTTCCATCAAATCAAAAAGCTATAAAATACTACCAAATAAAAAGATTAAGCTCTGTTTTCATCAAACCTACCTGTACCAGATGTACCGAAGCAAAAACAATGCAGGACCTACAACAGAAACAGAGGCAAAAATGACACTTGTAGCAGTTTTAAAACACTCTCCAGCTTACTGCACAGAAGAATCTCAGAAACTCTCACAAAAGAAAAAGGTATTAAGGGAAAAACAATCTATCCTCAGCCAATTAATTCTCATATTAGAGAAAATGCAAATGCAAATGGCAGATCAAGAAAATCATTACACATTTCTGGAAATTCTAAGATAAATTCCTACTGGATGAAAACACAATTTGGTTACTGCATAAACCAAGTGTTGAATGGCAATGTAATATAACCAGAATGTAAATCTTCCTTATAGAACTGCCTAACTAGCAAACAGCCCAATACCAGAGCTGGTAAAGAAAAAAAATCTCAACAACAATAAGCAAACGCACAAAGCTTCTAAACTTCTTAGATACATGGTTCATTAGTCTGTCCCAATAAGCTAATAGAGACAAGAAAGCTCACAAAAATGACAGAAAAATAACATAGTGAGATCGATAATCACAAAACATCTTCCTCAAAACACATCCTGCGCTCTATTTCCATTACACTAGTCACCCTGGAGTGCAGAAATTGTAAGTTTTACAAGCAATCCACATATCATTCTTAAGAGTCATGAACATAAGAACAAGTCATATTTACCTGTAATTGCTCTAGTGATGATAAATGATGCGCCATGTTTTCTGTTGCCTCTTGGCTGCAAATACAACAATAATAGTCAAATACTATGTTATACATTTTAACTTAAATACAACATTCATACATATATTCACCAATTAAATTTAAGTTGCCTGCTAGCCTACAAGTTCCTTAGGTATTTTCTATTACTCGCAACTTCATACAGTGAGTAATTTAACTGCATACGCTAAAACAGGCTATAAAGCCAAATATTTTAAGTGCTAGGTGTAATAAACAAAACATAGTACAGATTGTCTATTGATTCAGCTTTGCTTTGGTCTTTGGGTAGTAACAAAAGACATTGACTTCTGATTATGTTCTCATGTAAGGTATTATAAATCATTCTTTCTACACCAAACAAATGTCAGATTGATCTGCAATACCCAGAAGTCAAAGCAATTGGTGTTCAACATATTATGCTAATATATAACTGCTAAGCTACATAAAGACTGCTGGTGAAAGCTTCAGAAATATTAAGAAAAACAAAGAACTTCTGAAGAAAAACTTTTTTAATGTCATTTTGTACTAGGTAACACAGCCACTCAGATCACCACCTCTACTCCATACCATCTCACACAGCCTTTCCAGCAGTCCTGCTCTACTTAAGGTGGAGGGGAACAACTACACTCACTATACAAATGAAAGCACTCTCCAAATACAGAAAAAAAAAAAAAAAAGAAATACAAAACAACATAGGATGTATATTCTTAGCTACAAGAAGAGGTTAAATTATTTGCCCATAAGAAAGTAAGAAACTCATTAGGTGATCAATGGAGTTAAATCCAGCTGGAAGCTGGTCACAAGTGGAGTTCCTCAGGGGTCAGTACTAGGGACACTTCTGTTTAACATCTTTATCAATGATCTTGATGAAGGGATAGAATGCACCCTTAGTGCGTTCACAGATGACACCAAGTTAGGTGGGAGTGTTGAGCTTCTTGAAGGTAGGGAGGCTCTACAGAGGGACCTGGACAGGCTGGATCGATGGGCCAAGGCCAATTGTATGAGGTTTAACAAGACCAAGTGCCAGGTCCTGCACTCGGGTCACAACAACCCCATGCAGCGCTACAGGCTGGGGGAGGAGCGGCTGGAAAGGTGCCCGGCAGAAAAGGACCTGGGGGTGCTGGTCAACAGCCGGCTGAACATGAGCCAGCAGTGTGCCCAGGTGGCCAAGAAGGCCAACAGCATCCTGGCCTGTATCAGAAATGGTGTGGCCAGCAGGAGTAGGGAGGTGATTGTGCCCCTGTACTCAGCACTGGTGAGGCTGCAGCTCAAATGCTGTGTGCACTTTTGGGCCCCTCACTACAAAAAAGACATTGAGGTGCTGGAGCGTGTTCAGAGAAGGGCAACGAAGCTGGTGAAGGGTCTGGAGAATAAGTCTTATGAAGAGCGGCTGAGGGAACTGGGGCTGTTAAGTCTTAAGAACAGGAGGCTGAGGGGAGACTTTATTGCTCTCTACAACTACCTGAGAGGACATTGTAGAGAAGCGGGTGCTGGTCTCTTCTCACAGGTAATTAATGATAGAACAAGAGGGAATGGACTCAAGCTGCATCAGGGTAGGTTTAGGATAGAGGTTAGGAAAAATGTTTTCACTGAAAGGGTTGTCAGGCATTGGAATAGGCTGCCCAGGGAGGTGGTTGAGTCACCATCCCTTAGTGTGTTTAAAGGTTGTTTAGATGTGGTGCTTGGCGGTACGGTTTAGGGGTGTACTGGGTAGAGCAGAGTTGATGGTTGGACTCAATCTCAAAGGTCTTTTCCAACCTGAATGATTCTACAAAAAAGGGATTAAACTGGGAAAACAAGGAATAACCAATAAGGAAGGCATCACACACAAATCTTCAAAGTAAGCAGTCCTGTTTACACTTTTCTAGTGAAAATATTAGAGCACCTCAAACTGAGCATTAGAGTAAGTAACAAATGAACTTTCTCTTCCCTTCAGTATAGAATACATAAAGCAGATCATTACTTGCTAACTGAAAGATTCAGACCTCTCACTCCAAATTATAGAGCAGCAAACACTGAAAGACACACAAATTTATCAAAATTCCACATTTAAAAGAAAAGGTATTTGGGCTCCCAAATTTAAATTACTGAAGTTAAAGATTAACAGTTTTCTGTACAAAGTTCGCAATCCAGAAATAGTCTTCCAAATAATCAGGCTATCATCTCACATCATCTAAGAATCCAACACAGCTGAATAGATAATATTCCAAATGCAGGTTGATTAACCAGGAAATAACAAGGCATTATAGTAAAATAAGTGAGAGTATAAATTATTTCTTACAGCTATCATAGTACCTCAGGGAGAGCTTCAATGTCCTAGAGAAAGCAGAGCTTGTCAAAGTCTTTGGATTAAGAAAAGTTTGCAGTAAAAACATTTCCATAAATTGCTTATACCTCTTCAGAATTTTTGTTAATATTCTTAGTGTCCTCTCCTGATCCTAAACTACAGGCTCCTATTCCACACATCTTACACCCTTCACAAAACTGATTTACTATTACCGTCCAAAGACCTGAATTTTAATTTTTGTAATATATTCCTATCACCCCAGCAATAGCAATGGCTACTACATGTGCTCTGTTTCTTTTTTAATTCATTCCCATTTGGAAGAACATCAAATTCTCCTTCACTACAGCATTGCAGAAATATAACCTAAGTAACTTCCTCACTGATAAGACATTCACTTAGTTTTGGATTTTGCTGCACACCCACCAAGCTTATGGGGGGAGGGGGGGGGGTGTGGAGCAGGAGGATGTAAGAGAAATCTCAAAACATTAGGTGGCAATGAAAAAACCCCACAGAATCAAGTGATACATTCGATACATTTCAGAAGACAGAGAGTACTTATCTACTGGAGAAAAGCAAAAGTTCAGCCTGCCTGTATTTCCACACATGATTCCATGAACCCTCCCTGCAACCTCCTCCACAACCACTGCCTCATTCACTATTTGCACTGATCAACTACTCAGTAATTCCTTTTAGTCTCATTATCCATTTCAGGGTTCCCAAACAGTGCATTATATAAAATCACATCATTACACTGAATATAGACTGCTTGGTTTCCACACCACACTCTTCTCTGGCTTTGCCAGTTCCTTGCATGTGCCCTGTTACAAATACCTGTTATTTTCCCCTCACCAAAAAAAAATTATTCTAGGGAAATTCAATACAGGTGAATGAGGATACTAACAAGAACAAAAATTAAAGGTAGTTTGGGGGTCCAACTTAAAAATTTCATGACAGTTTTATCAGTGTTTTGAATTTAATACAACTTTACAAGTTCATCACAGGATTCATCTTCCAACAGTCATAAATACAGTTGTAAGCGCTCAGCACTCTGGAATTAAAAATCAATCACCCCAAATGAGATAACAGAAAAATAAAACAAAGAGCTGTGAAAAGTTTGTTTTAAGGCCTTGCTTTGTATCCTAGACGATTGCATAGGAAGACATTTAATCTACTTTTCCAGCGCAGCATTCAACTTCCTTTCCCTTTCTGCTGTCCCTTACCTCACTCATTCCAAACCACCTAGTTCTACAAGTAGTAAGGCAGGGACATTTTGTGACTTTTTCTGAAAACAGTGAATAAACCAGGATTAGAAGAGACAGATGTTCCAAAGGGAAAGTCACAATCACATAAATAATATCACTGTTAAGGCATGTCAAGGCAAAAACTGAATCACGCTGACAAAATAATTCTTTGCCTATGTATGTCAGTGTAAAATCAATTTCCCACTAGAACTGTAAAAACAGTATCAGAACTGTCCTTGGCAACTGACAGTCTTCAAAAAATGTAAATCCAAACAAACTACATAGCGTAATATTTTCAAACCTTCCTTTTTCTGCCATTTCAAATTGGAATTATTTTGAAAATAAAGTAAATAGGCAGGAAATACCAAGTTTAAAACAGCCTGTACCGTAGGTCTGCAGAGAGGGACCTAGGAGTTTTGGTGGATAACTGGATGACCATGAGCCAGCAATGTGCCCTTGTGGCCAAGAAGGCCAATGGCATCCTGGGGTGTATTAAGAAGAGTATGGCCAGCAGGTCGAGGGAGGTTCTCCTCCCCCTCTACTCTGCCCTGGTGAGGCCACACCTGGAGTACTGTGTCCAGTTCTGGGGCCCTTAATTCAAGAGAGACAGAGAACTACTGGAGAGAGCCCAGCGGAGGGCTACCAAGATGATTAGGGGGCCAGTGTCCCTCCTATGAGGAGAGGCTGAGAGACCTGGGGCTTTTTAGCCTAGAGAAGAGAAGACTGAGAGGGGACCTTATCAACGCTTATAAATATCTAAAGGGCAGGTGTCAAGAGGATGGGGCCAGGCTGTACTCAGTGGTGCCCAGTGACAGGACAAGGGTCAACAGGCACAAGCTGGAGCACAGGAAGTTCTACCTGAACATGAGGAAAAACTTCTTTACGCTGAGGGTGACAGAGCACTGGAACAGGCTGCCCAGGGAGGTTGTGGAGTCTCCTTCTCCAGAGATATTCAAAACCCATCTGGACAAGTTCCTGTGTGACCTGCCCTAGGCTGACCTGCTTTGGCTGGGGAGCCGGTCTAGATGATCTCCAGAGGTCCTCTCCAACTCTGTAATTCTATGATTTGCTGAAGTTGACAAGCAGAATTCTATGATGCTCAGAACTTCTATCAGGGCAGATGAAGACTCTCAGACTGTGGTTCCATGATCACTGGCCCGCTGCCACCAAAGGGAGGTCTCACACTTCGCTCTGTTTTGACTGTCACATTCACCTGCCTTGGTACCTACGCGAGTACTAGGGTGACCACTCAACAAAAGGAAATGAAACAATATGATTGTTTCTCAGACTAACCAGTTCTTTAACCAACTAACCATACAACTTGAAGAATACTAATAGCAGCAGAAGACAAGGGATACTTGTTGTAAATGTGTCCCCTTAACGCAGTTATAGAACCACAGTCTCGTGCCACCACATCTAAGTCCTCCTCACAGTTTGCAGACATGTAAATCGCTTTCATATGTTACTAGAAACAAACACTATTTACCATCT